TCTCTGTTGCAGTTGGGAGATCACAATAATCAACCCCAAAAAAGCCAAAGATTTATATATATATATATATATATATATATATATATATATATATATATAATAGTATCAATACAGCACAACAAAATACAAAAGGGAGAGATTGACTTAGAATGTCGCTTACCTTTTTTATAATGATTTGATCAGCTGTAGTTTGCAATTAAGTTGAGATTGAGTACTTCTTCCCTAAGGACTTTGTGCTTATTTTTATCACTCCACAAAACAAGAAATTAAAATTAAAATGTTGCTTGTAATTGCAGTAAATAGTGACCAGCATCAAGCTTATGAAAAAATTACACGGCATGTTCCTAGTGTTGTAGGGATAAATAGATGAATGATAAATGGATAAATCCTGACTATGGCCAATTGTTTCCAGTGCACAGTCGCCTGGAAAAAAGCACAAAGACGATCTGTATTGGTCAATCAAGATGAATAAAGCGCCACACATAGATATCCCCCAAAAGTATCCGAGTAATTGAATTTCTCTGAAGCAGAGCTGTAACAGATTCACTTCAGAGAACTAAGTGCTTTGGGTCTTGTTTTTATTCATCTCGATTTCTGAAGGGTCAGAGATATATTTAAAAGCTTTTTTTACTATCAAGCTTGTTTTATTCGATTGTGTTTACTTTAATTCAGTGAGAAACATATTTTATTCAGTTCAGTGTTTTGAAGACATTTTTAACCGTTTATTCTAAATAGATTTATGCTGTGGTCACACCAGACGTGCCATGTGCAAATAAATCACGCTATTCTTGCGTAAATAAACGATTGAAAATTTTCAGTTTACTCGCTTCATTTGCGCGTCAGATTTAAATGGAAAGCCAAATGGTTCAAATATATGTGAATTTAACACGTGAAATACATGTACTTCATGTTTATTTTACACATACTTTACACATACTTTAAGTTTACTTTTAGGGCCATGAAATCCCCCGTCTCAACAGGGTGGTTTCACACCTTTAGTTTGAAAAAAGTCAGGAAAGTGAGTCCAGCTTTGTTTAGGTGGCAGTGTCGAATGAGTTAGTTAGGACTTGTTTGTAGTGTTATGAACGTTTGGGCTAATTGTAGATGAGTTTTGAAGCAACCCGTAACATTTTAATAATATTTTGTCAAATTGAACGAAATGACTCGAAAAAAGATTTGCTCAAAGGTCACAGTCAGTAAAATGATCTGAACTTCCCATCACTACTTATTACGTGTGAATAGCGCAAATTATTCAGGCGTGCCACATCTGGTCCGAACAAAGTATAACAGAATGTTACATAGTCCTTACAAAGGGACAATAAAAAAATAATATTAAACGCACTTATTTATGTACAAATTAATCTTTTAATTTCACTTTATTAAAGTCCACATGAACCTGAAGCTGCGACCGTTATTTCTTTTCGTATTGTGACGCAGTTCCTAGAGAAACAGAATTTTTTATTTTTTTTATATAAATTTTATTTTTATAATTTTTTAGGGGTTTTCACCTTTATTTGGACAGGACAGTGGAGATTTTACAGACAGGAAAGTGTGGGGAGCGGATACAGGGGAAGGATCGGCAAAAGACCTCGAGCCGGGAATCAAACTCGGGTCGCCGTGTGCACCTCGGTGCTATGTGTTGACGCCCTAACCACTAGACTATTGGCGCCGACGAGAAACAGAATATTAAATGAGAAAACAGTGGGCGTGGCTTGTTTATTTTTACTGCAAGCTGATTGGATGTAGTAAAGTAGTCATTTCATACAGAAAGATTGGGAAAAGGCTTTTAGAAGAGTTATTACAACCTAAAACAGGTCGCACACCAAAAGCGCACACGGCGTACACGTGACAGTTTAAAGTATTACACGCGCACATTCGCACGATATTTAACATGAAACTAATCAGATGGCAATCTGTGGCGCGGCTGAAATATGAACTGCGTCCTGAGTCGTGGCAGAGCGCCGTCAACTTGCGGCGCCGATATGTGTACCCTGATAGAAACCGATTTTCAGAATTCCAAAATGCATGCCGCTGCGTGGCGCTTCTGGTGTGCGACCTGCCTAACAGACTCCTCCTGCTCACCATTTTTGTTTGTTGTCAAAACTGACAGTCAAAGGGGTGTGGTTAGGTACGTTGGCCACGCCCAATACCTCAAACAGACCAAACCTGAGAATTGAACTGAAAACAAAGAAGTGCATTTTCAGATTTCAATAGTTTTTTTTCTGAATGACATGCACAAAAACTAGCATGTGAGCTAACAAAACAAAATGGTTAGTTTTGATTTCATTTGTATGTTAAAACTTGGGACTTTACATAAATTCCTATTAACAACATTTAATGAGATCTACCTCGTCCATTTTGTATAGCATTTACCCACTGTTCTCTTTTTCTCTTTCATTCTCTCTCCCAGCATGACCTTTCATTCACCGCACTTAAAAAAAAAGGGCACCTGATTCAGGAGTGGCTGATTTTGTTTGTTTGTTTGTTTGTGTGTGTGCAGCTCAAGCCCATGAGAGAATGATGAGCCCCACTGGGCCCAGTCCCAATCCCAACATCCCATCAGAGTACTGCTCCACCATACCGCCCATGCAGCAGGCCCGCGCCGCCGGGACTCTCAACTCTCCCCCACCCACCGTCATGGTCCCCGTGTCTGTCCTCAAACACCCCGGTAATGACGGTACGCACTGCACTCTGAGCCAGAGCTATAGAGACCATAAAACAAAGTGACTTCCACTTAATGTAATGCATTCATGACTGGAAGAGTGGCCCAATTTGCTTGTTTTCCAAATTATATAGTCTGCTGCAAGACTAGGTCAGCTGTTACGCTGATCAAAGTGACAAACAGTTGAAGTCAAAATTATAAGACCTCCTGTTAAATTTGAAATAGTTTATAATATTTCCTCAATTTATGTTTAAGAAAGATTTTTTCAACACATTTATGAACATAATAGTTTAAAAACTCATTTCTAATAATTGATTTATTTTATCTTTGCCATGATGACAGCATATAATCAGAAATGGAAAGTAACGAAGTACAAATACTTTATTACTGTACCTAACCAGTTAAACTCCTGACGTCATCGACTTTCGCTTTCAGATTTAAAGTGCTAGCATTGCACCAGACCCTCGTAAGTGGTGTCGTTTGAAACTGTAGAATCTATATTGTATGCATATATGCATCACTTTGGTTTTTATTCTACTGTATTTAGTTATTTACACTTAAATACACAGTATTTTGGATATCCGAGCTGGGTATTTTACATTGGTTCATTTTCATATTTTTTTATATGACGCATGTACAAGTTATAGCTCAAATGAAAGCTCTTGCCGGTGCTCATACAGTTCTAGTATTCTTTTTACTGAATTATATTCACATGTCAAACAGTTGCTGAATGAATCGTGGTGTTTCCATGGCGCAGAAGTGTAAACAATACATTTATGATCAATAAGCAGCCCCAGATAGCACAGACAGCTGTCATCTCTTACCTTATGCTGTGCGCTTCAGGGCCATTCTCCTCTGTTTTTGAGGTGATGTGCATAAGTAATCTTTTTATATGTCTGACGTGGTCCAAACACAGTGAATTATGTTTGATCAAACAAAAGAATAGTGAAATATGAAACAATGATCGCTCCCTGTGGCTTGTACAGCACCTCTCATCAGTTGGAACACGATAACTTTAGCATAGATTATGGTGGAGACATTTTTCTTTTTTCCTATGATTACAGACATGTTCAGGAACCACCAACATTAATTACAGCACGCTAGACCACACACAACCTAAAACGTACACTTTCAAATTTGAGTTTATAAAAAAAAAAAAATACAAAAAGCGCCTCTTTTTTTAGGTGTTTATTATAACACAGGCAGCATATACAGTTATTTTAAACACTTTCAATAGTGTTTTATGAAAATTCAAAGGGTTTTCTTTAAAATGATACCACATTTTTGCATTTACACCTCTGCATGTGGATTTGGGAAGCTTTTAAATTTGGGTAGACAAAATCCAGGCGGAAATCCCCAAATAGCAGCAGAGTTTAAGTGGTTAAGTAGATGTTTCTGGCATCAGTACTAATTTTTGACAACTTTTTACATTTTTACACAAATATCTGTATTTTCTACTCCTTAACTTTTTAAAGCAGGCTCGTTAGTTTTGTTTTCATGTGTTTGGTGGCGCGATCTATATTATTTCTTGTCATTTCGCAATTTGAGTGCCTTTTTGAAGCAGTCAGTCTATTTTCATTATTGCTCACATGCGTGCTGCACTGCGTGGCTTTTTCAACCAAGGCTATCACGCGGCGTATAGGCTAGTTCATGAAGATTACTATGAGAAAGGCAAGGATGACTAAGCAGATGAGACGACAAATTTAACATGACTGATGATGCCCTGTTTACACGGTAATAAGACCAGATCACAGCTAAACAAGAGAGACACGTTCCTGGGGTCTGTTCTTCGTTCCTCGCTTATGCCGAGTTCAGACTGCATGATTTTCAAAGTAGTCATGTCTCAGATGTTTTCACACTGCATGACTATCTGGGCTAGCGTTTTGTCGCTGCTTTGTTTACACTGCAAGATGTATCGGCGACAGAGGCTTTCACATTGCATGACTTTACAATAGGAAGAATCGCCGACAACTTCATCCAAACTACGTCTCACAGCCAAAAACATGTAGAATATCTTTTGTTATTAACTACATTACGAGAAAGAAGCCTTTAACGGGGTAGAAATGTACATGTTTGCATGTACATGGGTCACCTGGGTTGAAGGGAATTAGCAATTTCTCCTCAACTTTCTTTTTTAACTTTCTGTATGACATCATCAAACAGACACGGGTGCTCCTGTCAAACCTCCACTAGTTTTTCCTCCATTTCTTGGGTCCAAATAAACCCAAATGAGTGCTTTTAACTTCTCCCTCAACCTCCCGCTCTCCTGCAGACACACACACACACACACACACACACACACACACACACACAAGTAAATGCTGCTCTCTCATTGGCTGTAGGTGATCGCTGATGTTATTTTCAGTCAGAACTCATTTCACATGGCATTATTTGAATCATCGACAGGTCCAGATATTCAGCACGCCAAATATCTCACAGGCATCGGCGACTCATCAGCGACTCTCTCAGATCGCATCTTTGATGTTTGTTTATACTGTGTGATCGTCACTCGCGTGCATGAGCACCAATTTGCCTGTTATGTCAGGCATTTGTCGGCGAGTCAAAATCGGGGCTAAAACCATGCAGTCTGAACTCAGCATTAAATCATCTAAGCTGAATTGGCAGATCCTGGATCTTTTAATCTTGATAACTGATCTTTGGCTACTTTGGTTCTTCAAACAAGTTCGCAAATCAGATTAAAATGTCTGGATGAACTGATCTGAGATCGCTGCATGTGTTGTAAAGGACAGGTCTATCGATCCTCGAAATCATGATCAGCTAGTTTTTTTACTCGCTGAAGACAAAACTGAAGGAAAAATGCCCCAAGAACATACTGGAACTGAAGACAGTTGTGACTTGTCATTCTAAGCTCATTCTAAGCTCTTTGGCCTAGGCGACATCTAATGTAAATGTCTTTGTGCTTGATTCAGATTGATATAAAGTTTCCTCTTTTTTTTATCCTGTTTTGCTATGGTTAATGAGAGAAAAGTTGCACTTATTTTGAAAATAAGTAATTATTAGAGATGTAACGGTATCAGAATTTCACGGTACGGTAATACCTCGGTATGAATGTCACGGTACGGTATTTATTGAATCATTTACAGGAAAAAACAAAACTTATTAAAATACTCCAAAAAAGTGCCAAAAGTGTCAATGACATACAAATTAGCCATCTATCTGTAAGCTTTGAAACAGGAACTTCAATTTTAATAACAAAAAAATATTAAACCATGTAAAAAAATTAAGTTTCAATTTAGTATTGTTGAAAACTCATCACATTCAACATTTAATCACTCACTCACTTAGATAGAGATGGGTTTAAAGGAAAATTATCATATAAATATAATCTGGTAAAAGCTGGTATCTCTGGGTATTTACAATGTCCCCTGCAACAGAAAAAACCCTCTCATTTGGGACTGAGGTTTCTGGGACAAGAGGGATATGACTTGGCCCAGGTTGACAGCAGTGGGTAACGTTGTGCATTGTCTTTCCCCCACTTGAGAGGACAAACCATGAGTGAGATAGAGGTCTCATGTCTGCATCAATCTGAACAGTGTGCTGTGTTTCTGCAGTCCCCATGACTGATTATTAGTCGTATTCCCCAACTTGCAGGCACGTGCACACACAGGGCTCAACCTGTGCAGTGCACATGCCCTTTTTAGTCTTGGATAGAAAGTGCCCTTCCAAAATGATCAAAAGTGCCCCCGCGACGCGACATACCCAGCTGATAAGAACTCGCGCGACAACACCGCTATTCAGTACGCGCGCGGCGACAACACCCGCTTTAGAGTTTTCCAGCTCTTTTTGATCCCCGCTTCTAGCAGCACACTCCATTTCCGCATTACTGGATCTGTAGCGACAACAGACCGCAAGGGATGATGGTCAAGCATGGGCTGATGGGAATTGTAGTTTTCGCTACCTCCCGTTCGCTTCATTCGCCTGAGCAAATTTTCTCAGAAGACCTATAGTTTTACCGAGTCATGCGACTACGGTAATATCGAAAATAATTAATATTGCGGTATGACGGTATTTACAATACCGTTACATCCCTAGTAATTATATATGGTACTGGATTTATGCATAATAAGCTGTACTTCTTGCTGTCATGTCGATGTCATAATAGTAACTAGGGGTCCGACGGGTCACAAAATTGTTGGTTTTGTATCAGTGGTTATGTGGTGTATTTTTTTTTATTTGAATCTGTTTACATTGTAAACGAAATACCCTTTTATAACACATAAAGTCAGCAGGAATCAGAAGCTGTGCCCTTTTTTTCCGTATTGTGATGCAGTTCCTAGAGAAACTGAATATTAATTGAGAAAACAGTGGGTGTGGCTTTTTTTATACTGCAAACTGATTGGATGTAGTAAAGTAGCCATTTCTTTCAGAAAGATCGGGAAATGGTTTGGGGAGAGTTTTTACAACCCAACAGACTCCTCCTCCTCCTCACCATTTCTGTTTGTTGTCAAAACTGATAGCTAGAGGGGTGTGGTTAAGTATGTTAGCCACACCCAAAACTTTAGATATACCTAATTTAAGAATTTAACTGAAAACAAACAGGAAGTGCATTTTCAGATTTAGATTAAAGATTACAAGAGCAAATCTTTTTTTTTTTTTGGTCTTAATGACATGTGCAGATGAATTGTTCACCACAAAACTAGCAACGTGAGCTAACAAAATCAATATGGTTACTTTTGATTTCATTTTAAACAGTCTGGTATCTAGATGTAATCGTAGAAAGATCCACATCATTCCATAGTTCAAGCTAAGTTTATATAGTACATCATTTGCAGGCTGATCCTAATGAAGCTGTTGTTTTGTCTTTTTGTTGTTGCTGTTGTAGGTTTTCCACGCGAGCAGAAGCATGTGTGGTTTGCCGATGGCATCCTGCCGAACGGTGAGGTAGCCGACACGACCAAACTCTCTGTGCAAACACGAAGATCTTCTCAGGAGTCGAGCCCAGTAACGCCAGACCCGCCGGCGGTGAGACTGCTAAATCCTCTTAACCGATGCTGCAGATAACTGATGATGACAATTGAAGGCCTTCATTGATTTGCTGCCTTTTCAGCCTGACGATAAGTTTCCGGATGAGCGTGAGGAGAGTGTTGGAGGCAGATCTGACAGCCCTGTGGAGGCGAGCCGTCCACCCGTCAGAGGCCCGTGGGATTACGGTCTGCTGTGCGGCGTGGGCAACTGTGTGCAGAGAGATGCCAGTCTGGTGCCAGAGGATGATGACGGTCTGCCGCCACTTCTCATTATCACCGGAGAGGAGGAAGAAGGGGGTAATGGCTTGTTATGTCTCCATGAAAGCTTGAAAAAAGAAACATTTTAATAATCTGTAGGGAGTTCATGAATCTGGGAGTTGGTACCAAAATAATTCCTAACCTACATTTGTTCTGCTGTATGTTTACATCTTTACAAGCTCTATTTTAACGATCTAGGCACAAAGTCTAAAGCTTGTGGCGCTAAAGCATTAAGGACGTGTCCGAATCCATGTTTGCTATTTTAAGGACGGACAAATCCGACATGGTCTAACATGGTTGTGCTTAATCTCTTAATGAGTTATAGGTGTGTTTAGGAATAAACCAATCAGAGTCTCATCTCCCATTCCCTTTAAGAGTCAGTTTTGTCGCACCATGGTGTATTTACTATTTACATGGTGGACTTTGTAAGTGGAAAACCTGAAGAATTCACTAACGAGAAAACAGTTAAACAGAGCATCTGCAGCACCAGGATAAAGAACGAGCCTCCTCCATTCAGCCTTTTTACTTTCTCTCTACTTTACGAAAGACTAAAAGTACAGTAGGTAAACAGTGTTATATGCACTCCACTGAAGACATCCGTTAGCCAACATATTTAATTTAGTTTAAGGTCAAAGATTTGTTTCAAAACTTTTTTTTTTTTTCCTTAATTCAGTTTTTTATTTCCAAAAATGAAATCATATAATTTTTAAAATCACATATAAAAATACTTTTAACAGATATTACCCCATTTATATCCCCCATCCCCTCACCCTGTTATAAGCACATCAGGAAACACCAAGCGGCAACCTCTCACTCTCCTTCGGGAAGCCAATACGGAAGTAACTGAAACTGCAATTAATCGAAATTCCGCTAGTCCTGGCTCCATAACAGAGCAAATTTCATTTGAGCCCACTGCTAAAATAGCCAACTCTACTGCAGGAAAAAAGGTGTTTACAGCCTGGTGCAAAGAACGATTTTGGTTCATATAGCTAATATTACCCTTCATGACAACTGTGAGGGGGGTGAATTTTTTTATAACTCATCCGTTTCCTTTATATTAGGTTATATTAAGTTTGCATAATTAAGGGCGTGGCCACTTGAGTGACAGCTAGGTCTCGCTGGTCTCGGTCACTTCACCACTAATTCCGTCTGATTAGCTGCTGAACACGGCATATTCATCATATTTCTGTGTTTAATGTTTTTTTTTACACAGTCAGTTGCCTTTTGGAATTATTTCCTACAATTATCAGATGATATGTCATGCTGTGTGCACTTAATTGTGCTCACAAACCATTCACATGGCCTCCGTTTCCCATGTGAGTGAAGTTATTTACTTATATACCATCTCTATAAACAGTCTTCTGGAGCATTATCATACAGTGTTGTGCTGGATTTCATCAATAGTCTTGCATTTACTGACACAGACTATATCTAAGTGTTACATGTTCAAACACATAAGTGTTTGGAAGTAATTCGCGTTTTCCTCCTGTTGATAAACATTATAAGAACGATGTTTAGTTGCTCAGTGTATTACAGCAGTGTTTTTAAAAGTCTAAACACTTTATTGATTTAGTGTATAGCCAAGCACATGTGGTCAGAACACAAGCGAGTCGCAGGTAATAAAGTATTAAGCATTAGAGATGCGCGGATGGCGGTTACAGCCGCGGATCGGGCGGATGACGAGACGAAAAATAATATTTTAATTAAATTTGGGCGGGTGGTGGGCGGTTGTACTGTTTTTGTACACATAGCTGGCGCACCAACGAAAAAGCCTAGGACTGACTTCACAGAATGAGAGGAGGAATCGGATACACTAATTCTGGATGAAGTACAGAAGTCTTCCTCTACAAAATTAAGAATAGACGGATCAGCAGAGGGAAATCTACTTTCCTTTTGGGAGAAACAAGGCAGTCATTCCCACGTCTACAGCACCTTGCCAAGAGAATTCTATGCATTCCAGCAACAAGTGCTGCGAGCGAGCGCTCCTTCAGTGCAGCAGGGCGCATTAGAGGCCAGGCGCTCTCGTCTGAATGTTGAAATGATGTGTCAAAATGCGTTTTCTATTAGGCTACTATAATAAAAAAAATGTACAGTACAGTGCGTTTCATTTAGGCTATTTATTTATTTATTTTTGTCCCTGTGCACCGATTGGAGACGGAGTTCACTGCTGATATTCTGAGAGCTTTATAGGGTGCTTCTCATTTCTTATTTGTGTATCCTCATTTCCTTCCCTTGCTTTCTTTCCTCATCTTTCCACCCCTATCGGATGCGAGGGAAGGACGCAAAAAAAAACTCAAGGACCGAGGAATCGAATCAAGTGAAAAGACACGTCCTCGTATTGTTTAGCGTCACTTCAAAGCGTCAATTAATGCTGGATTTGACTTGCACGTTTGGATTAACTGCATGTCATTAAAGTCATTCTCTATTTTCTAATAATCAATAAAGAAACATTCATTTAATAATAAAAAGGAATAAGCCATTCAAATAAAGAGCTCAGTCAGCAGATGGCGGGCGGGTGCGGTTTTAAAAATTGGTCAAAAATGTTAGTGCGGATGGATGGCGGACGGATGATGAGTTTTATGATGCGGTTGCGGATGAAATAATAGCCCATCCACGCATCTCTATTAAGCGTTCTCCCAAAGTAAAGTCTGTCTAAGCCAGATCCAAGCAAATTGCCAGCAGGTGTCTCTAGCTCCGCTCACTCCCTGCCTCTTTGCGCTTGTTTGGTATCCCGCCGTTTGTGCGATGACGCGCAAACAAAATGTCGACGGTTGGCCATACCTACTTTTAGCTTGTTTTGCAGTGTTCAGAAACCTAACACAGAATAACTGTAGTGTAGACCAAGCTAGGTCGATTAAAATAAAAATTTATTTATTTGTAAATGATATAATCAGTCTGACAAAATTCATGTTTAGAAAATTTAAACTGATATAAACATCCAAAGCTACAATCAACACTGTTTTTTTTTTTAAGTCACCTCATACTTCAGTTTCTTGTCAAATATTGACAAGAGATATCCTTAAGTCTAACATACTAATACTAACATTTAAAAAACTTTATTTTACTTTCATGGGAAGTTTTTAAAATGGTAACGTAATATTTATTCACTTAATATAATATATTTCATAAGAAATCATGAAACAGAATCTAAAACAAACAACAACAACAGCAAAATGCAATCGATGACAATATTAATCTATGTATAAAACTGTATGCTTATTTTTTTTTAAGAATATACAGGCTGCATTTCATTAACTGGAGCTACTGCTGTATTGACTGTTATTCAGTGACCGCACAACAGTGCAGTGAGAGAATTCAGTCGAATGATGATTCTTAATGGTCTTTTTTTCGTGATGTTTAATTATTGATTCTTTCATTTCATAACAGATTTATTGGTCGAGGAACGTCCTGCTGCTTGCCAAATATTGCTGCTGTTGGAGGAAGGAGGTCCACAACCTCTCACCTTTGTGCTCAATGCCAACTTATTGGTGAACGTCAAGATCGTCACATGTATGTTTATTATATTAATGTGATCTGAAGTCTGCAATCGGGTTCATTTTGTTTTGTTTTTTTGAAAAAAGTCATCACTGTCTGTCTGTGCTGTAGATTGTGGCAAGAGGTGCTGGTGTCTGAGCTCTAATGGTCTGCAGGGAGTTGGACAGAAGGAGCTGGTGTTTATAATTGAGTGTCTCCCAGAGGAAAACAGCCTGCCTCGAGACGTATTCAACCTGTATGTTAGCATATACCAAGATGCACAAAAAGGTATGTCCCCAAAAAGTCTTACATTTGTTTATGGAAAGACAAGACACACTCGACAAATTATGTTTGCTGTTTGTTCAAACTACTTGTGTTAAATGAGTTGAAACAATACAGTTCTTTTTTTTTTTTTTTTTTTTTTTTTTACAATATTTTTATTAAGATGTAACAAAAATGTTACTATATATTTCATCACAATCATATTTACATCTTTGTTTTCAATTTAAAAGAAAAACAACAACAACAACAAAAATAATACGGAAAAAAATATATAGAAAAAAAGGAAAAAATAGGGGAGCACAGGATGTTTCAGTTAGTATCAAATTATTCTATGGCCTTAGTTGCCATCCATTATAGCAGTGGTCACCAAACTTGTTCCTGGAGGGCCGGTGTCCTGCAGATTTTCGCTACAACCCTAATCAAACACACCTGAACAAGCTAATCAAGGTCTTACTAGGTATACTTGAAACACCCAGGCAGGTGTGTTGAAGCAAGTTGGAGCTAAACCCTGCAGGGACACCGGCCCTCTAGGACCAGGATTGGTGACCCCTGCATTATAGCATCAATTCACCTTGGGAATGACAGACACAAGTCCTGCAGAGTCCTTCAACCCAAGCCTGAAAAGCCCACTCAGAGCCCAATAAAAACAATTCAAAATTGTAAATTGTAATAAGCATTTTTTTCCCAATGTGCATCACTAAATGTACAATTTAGCTCTTTACTCCAAACTGTTTTAAGAGCAGAATAGAAACTACACCCCATCTTTTCCCCTAAGGATTTATAATACACTAAAACTTTGTGCCCTCTGCCATAAGCTCTAAGAATTACTGATAAATAGCAGTCCTCCTCTGGAGCTTGACTACCTGTCTTAAAAGTAGTATTTAATAGATGCTTAATCTGTAAATATCTCCAAAACTGATTTTTGTTGGGTTTACTTGATAAAAGATTGTCATTTTCAAAAAGATCCCCTAACCCACAGGTGTCAAACTCAGTTCCAAAAGGGCCGCAGCTCTGCACAGTTTAGTTCCAACCCTAATTAAACACACCTGATCAAGCTAATTGAGTCCTTCAGGCTTGTTTGAAACCTACAGGTAAGTGTGTTGGAGCAGGGTTGGAACTAAACTGTGCAGAGCTTCGGCCCTCCAGGAATTGAGTTTGACACCCCTGCCCTAACCCAAAAATACCATTCTCTATCCATTCCTTCCTAAGAAAATTCGATTTTTCGATGCACAGTGTGGGATCAGCCAAATACTTGAGATTGTGCTCAGAAATGGGTTAAACGTTAATGTTTTCGCTATTCTTTTCCATACTGATTGAACATGTGATAGCATTGCAATATTTTAAGCAGAACTGTTCTATTACTATGCTAATTAAACCTTCACACTCTGCTCTTACAAGTGGAATGTGCAATCAATGAAGAGTGGCCACCAGGCTGCACAGATTTAGCCATCACACCTCCAACACTAAATTGGCCAGTGTTTCAGTTTCATTGTCCAGCCACTGAATATTTTACTCACATAAATATGAAGTTCTTAGGTAAAGATATGTTATCTTTCACACAAAAGAGCAAAACAACATTCAGCATGTGAATGAGCAGTGTTTTTGTAGCTTATCTGGTTTCTCCTTTGTCCTGCCACAGGGAAGTTCATCGAGCATCTTGGCAATGTGACATTCACGGATAGTTTCTTGGGTAGTAAAGACCACGGGGGCGTCCTGTTCTTCACGGCTACCTTTCAGCCGCTGGAGGGTCTCGCTCTGCCACAGGTCTCCTTCCTCTGTGGAGTTTTGATTCAGAAGTTAGAGGTTCCCTGGGCTAAAGTCTTTCCCCTCCGACTGCTGCTGGCTCTGGGGGCAAAATATAGTGGTGAGCATTCCTATAAAACGTCCTTTAGTACAGTAGTGAAGAAAGCATTGTTGTAGATGAATATTACAGTTATTATTAAAGGTCCTGTCAAGTGCTTTGATGTGCATTTAAATTCGATGTTTGGCGATTGTCGATGATCTCAACTGAAACATGAAGACAGGGTGGGACATAGTGTAGCTCCTCCCCTTTTAAAAATGTAGCCTATAACATTTTGTTTTATCAGCGCTCTGCCAGTGAGAGTGGTTGGCTGCGTCAGAAACCGCATACTTCCATACTATATAGTACGCCAAAATCAGTATGCGAGCCGAGTAGTATGTCCGAATTCATAGAATTCGAAAATCAGTAGGCGAAAAGTACCCGGATGACTTACTACTTCTGGCGAGATTCCGGAGTGCGCATCCCATGCATGCTGCGCTATCCCATGATGCCCCGCGAGCGAATTCATGAATGGAAGTAAAGCGACGCAACTGACGCACGTAGGTCACGTGACCATGACAAAATGGCGGATGTAGTACGTCCGAATTCCATTCATACTTTTCACATTCACACTGTAAAGAACGTACTTTTCTAACGGCCGAGTAGTACGTTTAAATTCAAATGCAGTACCTACTGAGTAGTAGGCGGTTTCGGACGCAGCCGTTGAGATCAAGCGCATCAAATGAGAAGTGTCTAGAAGGGGGCGGGGCATGTCAGATACCCGAAAGTGTTTGATTGGTCAAGATTTGATGAGAATTATATGGTAACATGAATAATAATTTAGACGAAAGTGACAAACTACAAGCTTTACATGTTTATAAGTTTTATATCTTCTAAGTGGAGATTTTGTCACTGTTTTTGCACTAGCTTAAAGATATCCAAAAAAAACGAACAATACTGATACTAACATCTGAAAAACTTTAATTTCATGGGACCTTTAATATGAGTTTTAGCTTATAATGACGTCCTTCAAGTCATCAGTTGTTGTTGTTGTGTGTGTTTTTCCAGTGTATCCCTGCCCTTTGATGAGCATCCGTTTCCGTGAGTCAGTTTTTAAAGAGACAGGACACACCATCATGAATCTGCTCACAGTATGTGTTCTCAGTTTATTTTTTATTTCAGTTCTCAGTTTATGTGTTATTCAGTGTATTTTTATATAAACATCAACCTGCATTGATTTGTTGTTTTTTTTCTGTTTATTTACGGTTATGAATGGCATTATGTGATCTTGATCTCTGGTCTGTCTAATATTGATGTTGAAAATTCAACCTTTCATTCATTTTCTTGTCGGCTTAGTCCCTTTATTATTCCGGGGTTGCCACAGCGGAATGAACCGCCAACTTATCCAGCAAGTTTTTACGCAACGGATGCCCTTCCAGCCGCAACCCATCTCTGGGAAACATCCACACATACTTACATACATTCACACACACGCTCATACACTACGGACAATTTAGCCTACCCAATTCACCTGTACTGCATGTCTTTGGACTGTGGGGGAAACCGGAGCGGCCGGATGGCAGGGAGAACATGCAAACTCCACACAGAAACGCCAACTGAGCCAAGGTTCGAACCAGTGACCCAGCGATCTTCTTGCTGTGAAGCGACAGTACTACCCACTGCGCCACTGCCTCGCTCAAAATTCAACCTTATTCGCGCATTTTAACATGCATTAAACATTTGTCATGGCATACGAAATCTGTGGCGAGCTTATTTAAATTTTACACCATTTGCTGGATGTTTTTTTATTTTGATCACAGATTTCTGGAGGAAGTGCTCAACACAACAGATGCCTGTTTTTCAATTCATTATAGGTCACAGAAAGTCAGCGAAAGTCAAAAAAACATCAGGGACTTTGACATTTGGCTTAGAGTGGGAACCTTGTAATTTCTTTATTTTATTTTTACTTTATAACCCAACTGTCAGGTTCAGCTCAGGACGGTGAATGAATGAGCTTAGAGGCCTCTCTAGTGTACTTCAGCTCTGAGCCACTCTTCATTTCTCCGAATTAAAGAGCCCTCTTTGCTCCCCGTTCCAATTATAGTCCTTTCAAGCACACTCATGACCACTTTCCTGGACGCAGGCATGGAAAAATGTGTGCCGTCTCTGCAAATTAGCTTGGCTTTGCATCCAAATTGGCCTATTAGTGGTTATTCTACTTTGCAAATAATAAAAAAATAAGATCGTTATTACTATTACATGATCATATGATTATAAAGTACATGTATATTCATGTGATCACTTTCATTTGGGTGAAAATGTGCACCCTGTAAACAACATTTTATATTTAGATTTGCATTTATTCATCAAGCAGATGCTTTTATCCGAAGTGACTCACAAATGAGGATTAAAGAGTAAGTTAGTTTAGCATTTAGTTCTTTATTTATTTTAGTTTAAAAGAAGTTTTCTTTGTAACAGAGTGTTTATAAGAAAGTATCTGGTGGATTTAGAGAGGAAGAGGGAAGATTTTGTTACCTACAGGTGGTTTATTCAGCCCACTCACCTGTGTGAAGCGCACACAGGATTTTACAGTGTTATCCCATTAATATGGAGTGTTTATAGGAAAATATCTGGTGGATTTAGAGAGGAAGAGGGAAGATTTTGTTACCTACAGGTGGTTTATTCAGCCCACTCACCTGTGTGAAGCGCACACAGGATTTTACAGTGTTATCCCATTAATTTGGAGTGTTTATAGGAAAGTATCTGGTGGATTTAGAGAGGAAGAGGGAAGATTTTGTTACCTACAGGTGGTTTATTCAGCCCACTCACCTGTGTGAAGCGCACACAGGATTTTACAGTGTTATCCCTTTAATATGGAATGTTTATAAGAAAGTGTCTGGTGCAATTGGAGAGGGCATCTCCCCTACTGGTGTTTTTTTTTTTTTTTTACAGCATTTTATTAAAATATTAGATTTTAATCAGAAATAGATATTATATTATATGTATTGTTTTTTTAAAAGCTCCACCTGATGAATAAATACTAATGATTCAACTTTAAAAATCCATTGCAGCCTGAAGGTTGGAGGTTTTGTCAAGTGTTAATTTTACATGTTTAAATCTTTTATGATTTTAACAGGATCTGAGGAACTACCAGTACAGTTTACCTGTGGTGGAAAGTCTTCGGGTGCACATGGAGATGGGAAACAGCTACATCGAAATTCCCAAATCCAGGTTTAACGAGGTCAGAGTCACTTTGCGTTGTGGAGCTGTCAGGCGGTTGTCGTTGTCTTGTAGAGTTCATTGTTCCATTTTGGCTATTGTAGATGCTGAAGGTGGTGAACTCCTCCAATGAACACGTCATCAGTTTTGGTGCCTGTTTCAGCACTGAGGCCGATTCTCACTTGGTTTGCATTCAGAACGAGGACGGAAGTTACCAGACAAGCGCTAACAGCATACCAGGAAAAACCAGGAGAGGTTTGTCGAGACGCTGCTATTAGATCTGGATGATATGGACTCTTTTCATATGATGTAATGGTCATCAGCAACTTAAATCCTCACAGGTTTTTAATCTATTGATTAAAAAAATGAACAGCTATACTTTGTAGTAGTGTTGTCATGATACTGGAATTTTAGTACCAATTGGTACTGAAATTTAAAAAAAATGTCGATTCCTGCTAACATTTGGGCGCTGTTGAGCCACTGATTGGCCGTTTTGTTTAAGTATAATGTAATTTCTGTGAACAATGGCCAATCAGCTTTGTTTAAGAAAGCGCTCAACATCAATTAAATGTTAGCGGGAAATTGGCGTTTTTAAAACTCAAATTAAAAAACTAGTTGTTGTTTATGAGAGGGTTTCTAATGCAGTGTATATGGACGGGACTGTAAATTTATTTATTTATTTTTTCTAGCTGCTGTTATTACACTTTTTTTTTTTAAGTCGTCAAAACTCTATCATGAAGTTTTGCTTAACATGTGTTTATTAAGTTTTACAAGGTTTTACTGTAAATTAAGTCTCTTAACCATAGGCCAGTGGATGGGTGATTCACCTTTTTCCAACACAAAGAACACAATAGTGGAGTTTTAATTTTGTTATTCAAGCAAATTATAATGTAAAAATGTATCTGTTGTACTCAGCTATTCACTGCGCTCGCAGTTTATCCAACTATGATGACTTTTAGACTGCTGCTGAAAAACCCAGAAGTTTGAAAAGGGTTCAGTGTTGCCAGATACACTTAAAGGTTTCCAGGCCAAAAACTGTCCAAAATCCCAACCAAACACACAAAAACACTCAATATATTTTATTAGCCATTTTTAAAATTTGAATATTTTAATCAGAGTTTAGATGTTACTAATTGCCAACATTTACCTACCATTGCTAGCGATCAACCCAAAACAGTCACAGAACCTTTATAGCAAAACAACAATAACCAGATCAAAACACCGCGCTTCTTCCACCCACACTGCACATATTTTTCTAGGTTACACTATATTTTTGTGCAGATTTAAATTGTTTAAGGATGCATTCCAATCCATCCTTTCCAATCCTTTCATTCCAATCCACTCATCCATTCCAGTCCATCCATCAATTTATTCCAATCCATCCATCCGATCCAGTTCATCCATCCATTTCTGTACATCCATCCTTTCCCCTCAATTCCAATTCATCCATTCCAATCCTTCAATTTCAATCCACCCATCCATTCCAGTCCATCCATCCATATATCCCAATCCATACATCCATTTCAGTCCATTCCATTTTTTTCATCCATCCATTCCAACCCAATCCATCCCAATCCAATCCATCCCAATCCATCCTTTTTAATCATTCCATTCCAATCCATCCATTCCAATCCATCCATTCCAGTCCATCCATTCGTTCCAGTCCATCCATCCATTCCCGTTCATCCATCTATTCCTATCAGTTCCAATTCATCCATTCCAATCCTTCCATTTCAATCCACCCATCCATTCCAGTCCATCCATCCATTCCCATCCATCTATCCCAATCCATCCATCCATTTCAGTCCATTCCATCTAATCCAATCCATCCATTCCAACTCAATCCAATCCATCCCATTCTAATCCATCCCAATCCAATCCATCCCAACCTAATTCAACCCAATCCATTCCAATCTATCCCTCCAGTCTAATCCAACCCATTCCAATTTAATCCAATCCAATTCAAAACCCAAATTGCAAACTGCCCAATCTGGCAACCCTGAAGGGGGTCTTTAATGATCATTGTTCATTAATAAACTTATGGGTTTTTAAACAGCCTAAAGAATTTGTTTTGCATTAGAGGAGCCATCATTTCAAATTAATGTTATAAAATGTGTGTAATTTTTTTATTATTTAAACATATCTTTAAGCCATTTTAGTTGTAATGGATACGTAATATTTACAATATAAAATAAACTTAAAACATAGATTTAGATCATGTAAAATACTAAAGCACAACAGAATTTGAGTTACGAGAGTCATGGCTTATTTTTCTGTTTGGTTTTCCCTGAATTAACAGAAGCTTGCTTGTTTGTTGTACCATGTTCATGTGAATCCAGCTAATCTTTCTTTTGCAGTGACTGGAGCTAGTTTTGTGGTTTTTAACGGCGCTCTGAAAGCATCATCAGGATTCATCGCCAAATCCAGCATTGTGGAGGGTACCGCTTTTATTTTTCAGTCATTTTTCATACAGTACCTCAGTCAGATCAGTAGTTTTTAAAAGCAGAGTGTCACCGTCACGCTGTTTGTATCTTTAGATGGGTTAATGGTGCAGATCCCTCCAGAGACGATGGAGGGTTTGCGACAGGCACTCAGGGACCAGAACGACTTCCAAATCCCCTGTGGAAAGACTGACTCGGAAGAGACACGGGAAAATGTGAATGTGCGCTGGGTCGACTGGACAGCACCTGTCAACGCTGGGTACAAACCATTTATCATGTGCAATCAAACTGTCACACGTTTGCTATAGTTAAAGGAATAGTTTCCCCCCAAAATGAAACTGAGCAGTTAATTTACTCACCCCACAAGTCATCCAAAATATAGGTGCCCTTTTTTCTTGAGTAGAACATTACAAAAGATTTGCAGATGAATCTTGTTGGTCATTCATACAATGGCAGTGAATGGTGACAGGATTTTTAGATTAAAAATAAACACACAAACGAGTCCAAATCAATAGCCATGACTCCTACAACGAAACGATTGATCTGTAGTTAAGACAAAATTATTTGCCCTCCTGTGAATTTTTTTTTTATTCTTTTCAAATATTTTCCAAATTATGTTTAACAGAACAGAGAATTTTTTACAATATTTGCTATAGTATATTTTTTTCTGAGAAATCCAACATAATGTTATACTACATAAACGTATTCTTCTTCCGTATTCTTAGACTATTTTAAGAACCCATCTCCCCCTAGACCATTCATACTACAACCAACAAACTAACTCCAAACCTCTAAACTTTTCTGATTTTAGTTGCTATATCTTGTCCAACTGATCCGACATACAGTTTTTCAAAAACTGACCGGGAAAATATGGAAAACTCCCATTGACTTAACATTGAACCAAACTTTGTGACCTTATAACTTTGCACAAGACAGTCATACAGACTTAAGTTTGGGCTCACTTAACTCCGACTACCAATCTGCCAATCACTGATGACCTTTCAACTTATTAGCCATGCCCTTGCTACTAAAAAACTGTCTTTGACTTTACATTAGACATACCAACAGCATACTAATTCATACTAACAATATACCAATCCATACTAGAAACATATTAACAATATACCAATCCATACTAACAATATACCAATCCATACTAAAAACGTGCTTACAATATACCAATCATACTAAAAACATACTAACAATATATCAATCGTACTACAAACATACTAACAAAATACTAATCATACTAAAAACATACTAACAGTATACCAGTCCATACTAACAATATACCAGTCCATACTACAAACATACTAACAATATATCAATCGTACTACAAACATACTAACAATATACCAATTATACTAAAAACATACTAACAGTATACCAATCATACTAAAAACATACTAACAATATACCAGTCCATACTAAAAACATACTAACAATATACCAATCATACTAAAAACATACTAACAGTATACCAATCATACTACAAACATACTAACAATATATCAATCGTACTACAAACATACTAACAATATACCAGTCCATACTAAAAACATACTAACAATATACCAATCATAATAAAAACATACTAACAGTATACCAATCGTACTACAAACATACTAACAATATACCAGTCCATACTACAAACATACTAACAATATACCAGTCCATTCTAAAAACATACTAACAATATACCAATCATACTAAAAACATACTAACAGTATACCAATCGTACTACAAACATACTAACAATATACCAGCCCATACTAAAAACATACTAACAATATACCAGTCCATACTAAAAACATACTAACAATATATCAATCGTACTAAAAACATACTAACAATATATCAATCATACTAAAAACATACTAACAGTATACCAATCATACTAAAAACATACTAACAATATACCAGTCCATACTAAAAACATACTAACAATATACCAGTCCATACTAAAAACATACTAACAATATATCAATCGTACTACAAACATACTAACAAAATACTAATCATACTAAAAACATACTAACAATATACCAATCATACTAAAAACATACTAATAATATACCAGTCCATACTAAAAATATACTAACAATATACCAGTCCCTACTAAATATACCAGTCCATACTAAAAACATACTAACAATATACCAGTCCATACTAAAAACATACTAACAATATATCAATCAAACTAAAAACATACTAACAATATACCAGTCCATACTAAAAACATACTAACAATATATCAATCAAACTAAAAACATACTAACAATATACCAGTCCATACTAAAAATATACTAACAATATATCAGTCGTACTACAAACATACTAACAATATACCAGTCCATAATAAAAACATACTAACAATATACCAATCATACTAAAAACATACTAATAATATACCAGTCCATACTAAAAATATACTAACAATATACCAGTCCATACTAAATATACCAGTCCATACTAAAAACATACTAACAATATACCAGTCCATACTAAAAACATACTAACAATATATCAATCAAACTAAAAACATACTAACAATATACCAGTCCATACTAAAAACATACTAACAATATATCAATCAAACTAAAAACATACTAACAATATACCAGTCCATACTAAAAATATACTAACAATATATCAGTCGTACTACAAACATACTAACAATATACCAGTCCATACTACAAACATAATAACAATATACCAATCCATTCTAAAAACATACTAACAATATACCAGTCCATTCTAAAAACATACTAACAATATACCAATCATACTAGCAACATGCTAATTCATAATATAAACCACTCAAAAACCACTCCGTTTCAAACTTCTTGACACTCTTTTAAAGTCTGTGAGAAACTCACACCTGAGCAATGCATGAGACAGCATTCTCCTTATGAGAGGCATCTTTAAGCTTCCAGCACCAATGCAGCCTTTTATATAAAGTATTAAACATGTTTCAGTAGTTCAGTAGCTAATTTTTCAGATTTTTTTTTGTTTTGTTTTGTTTGTATTTGGGTTTTTACCTAAATCTGCTTCAGTTCAATGTCAACAGCTCCTTTTGAAATATTATTCTGAGGAAAAACATGATGTGTTCAATATTTATTTTCACTGCTGTATCAGGATATGGGATTTTTGTCATGTTAAGCTCTGTAGATATCCTTCTTCCAAACACTTAAAAAAAGCATAATAATGCCATTCATTTGAGCTGTAGTGTGGATTCTAAACAGAGGCTGTCTTATGGAAGTGCTGCATGACAATACTGTACTAGCTACCTCTTTTACTGAGAGGAGAACTATTGATCCGTTTGCCCGCTGCTGCAGGTGACCTTGAAAATGTTCTCTGCATTAATTGGGAACTATTTAAAATTCTTTCCTTTAGCTTCCAGCTTCAAAATGCTGTGTCAGGTCAAAGCTTATTCCTCTAAGAAAGTGTAGCATGTTTTATGTGTTGACATGTTTTGCAGAGTCACCAGTCCAGTGGACGGCAAGTCTCTGGAGGGAGTGTCCAGCGTGAAGATCCAGCAGGACTCTGAGTTCGAGATGGATGGCCGAACCATCAGGTGTACTGAGGTTTGTACTGCATAATGTTAGTATCATCTTTAGGCTTATGACGGTTAATTGTTTTTTTAATACGTTTTTTTAATACGGTTAATAGCTTTTATCACGCTTTTATCACGCTACACAGTATTATCAAGATATTGAGCTAAGAAGGGTTACTTTAAAGGTGCCCTATTTTACAAGATTTCTAATAAGTCTTTGATGTCCATAGAGTTTGTATGCAAAGTTTTCTTTTCTAACTCTTTGAAGCTGCCCCTTTTAGTCTTTGATTCTGATTGTGCCATTTTGGTACTGTCACTTTAAATTAAAATGAGATTGCGCTCTTTTCAAAAGAGGGCGGGGCTACAAATGCCTGTGTGTCAGGATAGCGGCAGATTCGCAAGACTGATGTCCTATGCTAATGAGGGAGAGATGAGTCACTAGTGGGCGGAGCTTTCCCCCTCTTATGACACGTACAAAGGGAGAATGTCAATCCAAGTGTTTCTGTAGCCTGTTTCTATCAAGTGTGATTATAAAGAAATGTAACTAATAAATCTTTACCATTAAAAGCTGGTTATATTCACACGCTGCTGCCACACAACTGTTTAAACCCCTTATAAAAGTGATTTTTGCATAATAGCTCCCCTTTAACAGTTCTAATGTCCGAAAAATAGCTGTGTAATGCTTTATTGTAAATACATGTTCACAGTAAACAAATGTTTCAACCAAATTAAATCAGACTGTTATACTGATTTAAGTCTGGGCTCATTTAACTCGGTCTACCAAGCTGCCAATAACTGATGAACTTTTCATTTCATAGCCACACCCTAGCAACCGCCTATTGCACGTGAGCAGCTGCCCCATAGACTTAACATTTTTCCAGATATTGTGACTTCATGACTTTGCATCAGACTGTCATAACAACCAGTTACTGCACGCTTGCAACAGCCCTATAGACTGTGAATAGCTGTTTTAAAACTAGCTAATACTTCTAACATGCTAGTGATATGTTACCCTTGTTGAAAACATGCTAATTCAAGCTAGAAACATGCTAATTCATATTAAAAACAACATACTAACTGCATTCTTATTCATATTAGAAACATGCTAGCAACAATTGCTAATTTGTATATAAATCATGTTAACGTTAATTTATACTGGAAACATGCTAGCAACGTGTTAATTTATACTAGAGACATGTTGATAACATGTTTATTAATGTTAAAACTGTGTTAATTCATACAAGAAACATGCTAATAACATGTTTATTCATACTAGAAACAAGCTAACATGCTAATTCATACTAGAAAAACATGTTAACATCATGCTAATTAATAGAAATATGGTAACAACATGTTAATTCATACTCAAATCATGTTAATAACATTTTAATTTATACTAGTAACTTAACAACAGGGTGATTCATACTAAAATCAAGCTAAGATGCTAATTCATACTAGAATTATGCTAGCAATATGCTTTTATATATAATGATGTTAACTAAATACTAATTCATACTAGAAACTTGCTTATAATATGTTAATTAATGTTCAAATCATGGTATCCAACATGCTAATTCAAATTAGAAACACGTTAACATGCTATTTCAGACTAAATGCATGCTAAAAACATGCTAATTCAAACTAGAATAGTGTCAACGTACTGAAATCATGTTAATAACATGCTAATTTATACTACAACCATTTGAACAGCATGTTAACTCACTACAAACATGCTAACATGCTTATTCATATTAAAAACATGGTAAAACATGTTAATTCATTTTTAAATAATGCTAACAACATGTTAATTCATACTAGAAACATGTTAGCAACATGTTTTCATACTCAGTGATGTTAACAACATTCTAATTCTTACTAGAAAAATGCTACCAATATGCTAATTCATACTAAAAACATGGTAACAAAATGTTAGTTCATACTTAAATATGCTAAGAACATTTTTATTCATACTAGAAGCATAACAACATCGTGATTCATACTAGAAAAACATGTTAACAACATTCTAATTCATAGTAGAAACATGCTAACATGTTAATTCATACTAAAATCATGCTAGCAACATGCTTTCAAACTTGATGATGTTAACAAAATTCTAAATCTTACTAGATAGATGCTAGCAACATGCTAATTTATACTAGAAACATGCTGGTAACATGTTGATTAGTGTATAAATCATGGTAGCAACATGCTAATTCATTTTAGAAACATGTTAAATTAAACTGGAAACATAATAGCTAATCAAGCTCTTCCTATTACTCTAAATTGCACACCTATTACCTATCCTATTGCACACCTATTACAGGTATACTAAGTATAATATGAATATTCATAGAAAATTACTCTAAAAGTCTGAATAATTATTCACTATTTATTGTTTTCGATCTCAATGTTTTGCATAGTCATTTTGATGCATATCTGCATACTTTTACTCATCTCTGGTCCCCTCTGCCCCATCAGGTCTTCTATTTGCTGAAGTCTTCAGACGTGTCCCTGCCTGCCATCCTCACATCATCAGCTCAGTTTCAGAGAGAGATCGCCACCGCCAGCTGTGCCGCCCTCTGCCCGCATCTCTCCGTGCTCATGGCCAATGGATTCAACTCTCTTGCACTCCGAGTCTCCACTGACTCAGACATGGTAAAGCTTTTTGGGATGCTTCAGCTTTTTGGTATGCTTCAACCAGCCCTGTAATCAACAATAAACTTTTTTATTGTAATTTAAGTACTTAAAATACTAAATACAAAAGATAAGTCTCGCATTTAATTAATTTAGATAATGATCCAGTTAATAATAAGTATTGTTCTTTTCTTATGTACTTGTAACAAAGGCTTTGCACTGTCACTTTAAATTTGGCCTGCACGATATTGGAAAATTAGTATTTTTCTGCGATAAGTATTGCGATATGTTTCCAGTTTCACAAGATAAATTGAATAGCTCTATTTGATTGTTTTCAGGTACAGAAACTGAATAATCACAATGCAAAAAATGCTTTTCTTACATTTGCTTCGTCTCATTTCTAGTCCAAATATCTAAAAATTCTTCGATCAAGCAAAAATTGTGTTGTATTGTTCAACTTCAGAAGAAATAAAACAAAATTAAGAGTTTTTCAAATGATCTGCCAATGGGTAAGCTAAATAATCTTCTTTTCACTTCAAATGTGGATATTTAGACTAGAAACAAAACAAGAAATCTAAGTAAGACTTTTTTTTTTTGCTTAAATCGTATAAATTCCATATAAATTCTGTAACTAATTCTGTAGCTCCTGGTCAACTATAATTCAGACTCAACATTGCATATCTTGCATATAAGCACATTGCCATATCGATGCTGAAATGACATGTAACCCATAGGTCCTACTGCACCCTACCCAGTTTGAACTGGGATCGAACCAGCGATTCTTTGCATGGGAGTCTGTTGCCCTAAAAAAGTAGGCTAAAGACTATGGCCTCTAGCGTTTGTCGCTAGATCACCTTTAGAGGTCAAAGGAGTGAGGTTTACCTGCATAGCATTTCGCTAGCTAGCCTCGTATACACTCACCCCCCTAAATCTCACTCCCATCCCGGACGAGCCCCCATTTGTAACCCACCAGTCCTACTGCTCCTAAAACAGTCTGAGTTGGGATTGAACCGGCGATTCTTTGCATGAGAGTCGGTTGATCTAACAAGAAGGCTAAAGACCATGGCCTCTAGCGTTTGTCGCTAGAGCAACTTTAGAGGTCAGAGGAGTGAAGTTTACCTGCATAGCACTTTGCTAGCTGGCCTCTATTACACTCAACCCCTTAATCTCACTCCCATCCCGGACGAGCCCCCATTTGTAACCCACCGGTCCTACTGCTCCCAAAACAGTCTGAGCTGGGATTGAACCGGCGAATCTTTGCATGGGAGTCGGTTGATTTAACAAGTAGGCTAAAGACCATAGACTCTAGCATCTGTAGCACTCCGCTAGCTGGCCTCCGTTACAGACATATAGTGCAGATCTACTTTAAATGTATGTTGCATTGGTAATTCCCTCATTGCTGTGTTTTTTTCAGGTCGAGTACCAGGCTGGATCTTCTGGCCGCCTCCTGCCTCAGAAATACATGAACGATCTGGACGGGGCTCTAATTCCTGTCATCCACGGAGGAAGCTCCTGTGTACCCCATCAGGCCATGGACATGGAGTTTTTCTTCTACATCTCACTGAGCATTTGATCACTGGTGACTTATAAACTTTCCATCCACAGAGCAGCCAATGGGACTTCACGACCGATACCAATGAGGTGCAGGAGGAGACTCCGTGTCTGCTCTCTGAACAGGTATGGAGAGCTTGAAGAAGCGTTTTAAGGGACTATATTAGCGATCCTTTAGAATAAACCCGGATCTTGGATCAGCAACTCAAATAAAAGCGTGAGAAATACGGTGTGCTTCTTTAGTTGTGTTCAGGTCGATGAATGTTGGTTTCGAATCGTTCTTGTAAGACCACGAAGTCAAGATATACCAAGAATTATAATCATTACTTGATTACTTGCACACATGGTGTCCGAGCATGTGAAGTGCTGCGATTCTCAAACTTTTTCACGTTTGTTTGTTTTTCTGAGCTGGAATCTGCAGTGTTTGATTTCCATCCGTTTTAATTCACAGCGATCATATGAAGTAGCTTCGTGTGGATTTAAGAATCTACATGAAGATATTAAGTATTAATTATTGTACTTTTTAAGTACCGCATCTTTAGTCGTTTTTTTTCCTTGATCTGTAATATACGCAGAGGGTAAAATATGCCTGATTTACGATAGATGAAGTCATCTGCTAAGTCGTTTAAGCTTTTATTAAGCTTCAATAATATTTGTGGACATGTTTATTAAAGGTGATATTTTTGATAAGGCATTGAAATGACACGGTTATAGCCCTAAAAAACCCCACTTGAGCGTATAACTCAGTGGTACGCTTGCAGATTTATCCTGACAGAAGAAAAGAGACGATAAAATCATCCCTATGACAATATTCACTACCTGAGAAAAATTGTAAGAGCAACAAATAATAACTTGACTTCTAGTTGACAATTTGGAAAAGTGGCAGAAGATAGACTTTTCAGATGAATCATCTGTTGAGCTGCATCCCAACCATCACAAATACTGCAGAAGACCTACTGGAACCCGCATGAACCCAAGATTCTCATTGAAATCAGTCAAGTTTGGTGAAGGAAAAATCATGGTTTGGGGTTCATTCAGTATGGGGGCGTGCGAGAGATCTTCAGAGTGGATGATCAACATCAACAGCCTGAGGTATCAAGACATTTGTGCTGCGCATTACATTACAAACCACAGGAGAGGGACAATTCTCCAGAAGGATAGCGCTCCTGCTCATACTTCAGCCTCCACATCCAAGCTCCTGAAAGCAAAGAAGTAGAGATGCGCGGATGGGCTATTATTTCATCCGCAACCGCATCATAAAACTCATCATCCATCTGCCATCCATCCGCACTAACATTTTTGACCAATTTTTAAAACCGCACCCGCCCGCCATCTGCTGACTGAGCTCTTTATTTGAATGGCTTATTCCTTTTTATTATTAAATGAATGTTTCTTTATTGATTATTAGAAAATAGAGAATGACTTTAATGACATGCAGTTAATCCAAACGTGCAAGTCAAATCCAGCATTAATTGACGCTTTGAAGTGACGCTAAACAATACGAGGACGTGTCGTTTCACTTGATTCGATTCCTCGGTCCTTGAGTTTTGTTTTTTTTTGCGTCCTTCCCTCGCATCCTATAGGGTTGGAAAGACGAGGAAAGAAAGCAAGGGAAGGAAACGAGGATACACAAATAAGAAATGAGAAGCACCCTATAAAGCTCTCAGAATATCAGCAGTGAACTCCGTCTCCAATCGGTGCACAGGGACAAAAATAAATAAATAAATAGCCTAAATGAAACGCACTGTACTGTACATTTTTTTATTATAGTAGCCTAATAGAAAACGCATTTTGACACATCATTTCAACATTCAGACGAGAGCGCCTGGCCTCTAATGCGCCCTGCTGCACTGAAGGAGCGCTCGCTCGCAGCACTTGTTGCTGGAATGCATAGAATTCTCTTGGCAAGGTGCTGTAGACGTGGGAATGACTGCCTTGTTTCTCCCAAAAGGAAAGTAGATTTCCCTCTGCTGATCCGTCTATTCTTAATTTTGTAGAGGAAGACTTCTGTACTTCATCCAGAATTAGTGTATCCGATTCCTCCTCTCATTCTGTGAAGTCAGTCCTAGGCTTTTTCGTTGGTGCGCCAGCTATGTGTACAAAAACAGTACAACCGCCCACCACCCGCCCGAATTTAATTAAAATATAATTTTTCGTCATGTCATCCGCCCGAAACCACGGATTCCGCGGCTGTAACCGCCATCCGCGCATCTCTACAAAGAAGGTCAAGCTGCTCCAGGATTGGCCAGCCCAGTCACCATACATGAACATTATTGGGCATGTCTGAGGTAAGATGAAGGAGCAGGCATTGAAAATGAATCCAAAGGATCCTGATGAACTCTGGGAGTCCTGCAGGAACGCTTTCTTTGCCATTCCAGATGACTTTATTAATCAGTGATTTGAGTCAGTGCAGAGATGTATGGATGCAGTCCTCCAAGCTCATGATGGAGTCAGACACAATATTCATTCTGTCTCCACTGCAGCAGGACTTTATATTCTATACTGGACATTATTTCTGTTCAGTGATGAGACTTTAGTCTAAGCAAAGTCAGACCTTACTGTCCTAATGAAATCATTAATAATCAAGGCATGATCATATTTTATTTTGGTAAAAAGCGTGTAATCAAGAGACCTTTACCTTTTATATAAGCCACTTCTGATACCAAATGATCAACTAGAAGTCAAGTTGTTATTTGTTGTTCCTTAATCTTGCATAGGCGACAAGACTTTTGTCAGGTGGTGTATGCTTTAGCATTTATCGTTATTTTCACACTACTGCATTGATTCAAGTTTTCTTTTATTGAATTGTTGAACTGTTTTATTCTTTTAACACTACTATGACCAGCCAGGAAATCAAAAACACAATTATTTGCCTAAAATAATAATCTCCACCCATCTGAATGCTTTCCATGTCTTACTATTTTATGTTAGCTCACCATGATGCCAGGTTATGAGGCTGCCAAATGTTCTCTCTATACTGCGGACGATAAAATATCTGTAACTTTTTGATGAGTTCGACGGATCCTATGAAAACTCTGTCCTCCTAAAACACGCTGGATATGCTGTTTCAGGATTACGTAGCTGTTTTATAAATGCAATAACCTTTATTCACTAAACTGTGGTCTTACGATTTTACATTCAGCTTCAAGTCTATTTGAAAAATGCAAAACAACTTTCTTCCTCACTAATTATTATCAAAGAGTTGAGAATGACCAAGAGGCGACACTCAATAGAGCGCTCCATTGCAACAGCAGCGCCCAGCAACAGCCCCGGATTCCGCCATTTTGGAGTGAAAGCGATCGGCCGTCCATTGGATCTCATTACGGTCGCGATGGCAAGCAGCTGCTTTGTTTATTTATTTATTTAAAAAGCGCATTAAAGCGGAGATACAACCTGAAAGACGATAATACAACACTTACCATCACAGTCATCAGCACTTTTAATAGTTTATTTTACAGACTTATAAAATGCTGTTGTTCTAATGGCCGCCGCGCCCTCTAGTGGCTGTTTCCCAAATTACACTAGAGTGTCGCCTCTTGGTCATTCTATGCTCTTTGTTATTATTATGATTATGTGGTTTCCAAGTTTCTGAATGCATTGGTTTTTTGAAATGCTGCAGCATAACACGAATCAAAACTCATTAATTAGCAAAATGCACTTTTACTGTGGTCGGTGGAATGAAATACAGGGCGAGTGATTGTTCCTTACTTTTTATTATGCGTTTCTTCATGGTGATAAAACAACATATAAACAGCGATTAATCAGTTTATTTGATATATTGACTGGTATATATATATTTAAATAATCTGAAGACTTGTATAACTCTGTCACAAACCAAATACAAATGTTCTTAAGATACAAACGATTGTTGGGGAAGGATTGAGATTCGATATCTGTGGAATGAGTCGAGCATTTTATAGACATCTCAGATCTGCTCCCGTATATTTGGGCTTTGTGGAATATTTTGGGAGTTAAATTATTTTCTCACTGTAACTGATTAATTCAATCATTACGATTAAAGTATTTTTTATGCTTTACGAAAAAGCTGTCGGGATGTACCGGTTTGCATAATGTGTATCTATTTATTCATGAAAACCAGAATTATTTGATTAATTATCTGGTATGGGACCTAAGAAAGTTCTTCAAAACAACGTTCATTTCTAATATGTATCCTATGTAGAATAAAATTTTGATAAATATTCAAAATGCATTGTCTCGTAGTCGTTTATGACAATATGGATCTGTTTTAGCGTTTAGATGAAGGTTTTGAAATGGGATTTCTGCTTGAAGTACAGACCTCTATTGCAATTAATTGTAGTTTTCTTTTACTTTTTTAAAGATATTTTGAGTATTAAGCACAATACACAAGCAAAGTTATGTTCTATACAGTGACTTACAGTTGAAGTCAGAATTATTAGCCCCCCTGTTTATTTTTTCCCCCCCAATTTCTGTTTAAGAGATTTGGCTGGTCATTTTCCAGCCTGACCAGGTAAGACCAGGCTGGAAATGGCTGGAGACCAGCCTGGAAATGGCCAAAACCCCTCTAAAACCAGGCTGGTCGACCAGCTAAAACCAGCCAACCAGCCTAGGCTGGTTTAAGCTGGATTTTTCAGCAGGGTGTGCAGGGCTCTAATTTTTCTTCCTCACACAAACTCCCAAACACACTGATCCCTCTGGAATTGACTGGACTTTCTCTTATTTGTGACTGCACCTTTAAGAATGCATGGTTGCATCTGTTTATCTTAGATTAGCATGTCTCAATCCTGGTCCCTGCGCTCCCTTTCTGACTGACACATCCCTACACAGTATGCATTGTTCCTTAGTTCCTGTTCCTTCATAAATCTCTACCTGAGCTTACTAAAAACTTTAATCCACCTCGTAACATTCATTCACAGATTTGCACAAAGGCACTGCCCGCAGCATCTTAGAGTACTCTACTACTACTAGAGTAGCGTAAAGCCTGACATAATATACCTCTGTAAATAATTACAATTTAATTTAACACATCACACACTAAAAAGTAGTGCTCTTAAATCTAATACTCCCTTCAAACTGAATTCATGGTGGAATATCCTGTAGAGCAGGGGTCACCAATCTCGGTCCTGGAGGGCCGGTGTCCCTGCAGGGTTTAGCTCCAACTTGCTTCAACACACCTGCCTGGATGTTTCAAGTATACCAAGTAAGAGCTTGATTAGCTTGTTCAGGTGTGTTTGATTAGGGTTGGAGCTAAAATCTGCAGGACACCGGCCCTCCAGGAATAAGTTTGGTGACCACTGCTGTAGAGTTTGGTATGAGGGCCGGGATTGAGAACTGCTGTATTGGATTTAACCAGCAAACATTCAATGTCCAAAGATTTCAGTGAAGTCCCCCAGCTGCTTGATCTGCTCTGTTTGCATGGAGTGTCTTCTCATCAGCATCCTCCTGGTCTTGTGGTCCTTTGGAAAACCTGTGGGTGCTGAGGGAATGCAGGGTTTCGTCCCCACTGCTGCACCACAAACTGATTTGTTGTTGGCGCTTAGATTGCCACTCGGAGTGATGTTTGGGATTGGTGCGTGCTGGTTCAACGGGGGGAGGAATCCCGCTCGAGGATGGGAAATGGGATCCAAAAGCACCCCAGAGCCCCGACGTTCATAGCTAATGGGATTTCTTCTGTGTAAGTGCGTTAATGAAGCACTCTCGAGAGACTCCCTGGAGCCCACCAGGGTAGGAGAACGTGTGTTGGCATGTCTCTTCCTCTCCTGCTGCCCTTTGCGGTCTTCTGGAGAGTTTGCAAGGCTCACCGATAGCTGGGAATCGGAGCTGTAGTGGTCCATTCCTAGTTTTCTCCTCTGAATGATGTTACGGAGACTGGACACAGCCAAGTTTGGCAGGGATTTGTCTGGATCTTTCTCCGCCGGAAATGCGTCCATGCTGCTTTTGCTGTGAAGATTTGGATGAGATAAAGAGTGCAATGAAGACAAGCTGTCAAAGGACATGTTTCGACAGAGTGCACCTTCAGGTCTTAGACGTTCACCATTGTTACCTTGTCTTTGACTCAAACAGCCAGCTTCTTTCAATTCAACACTGCAATGGCGAGATAGCGGCATATTACCGAAAGTCAGCCGGTTCATTCTGAAGCTCATTTCTTCTTCGGGTGTGATGTCCGGAAGTTCCTCTGTAGCCGTGATGCTTTTAGCATGCTGTTGTGCAAGGAAGGCATGTGGGATTTTCAGCCATGGCTCTGAGTGTAATCTCTGGAGATTGTGCAGTTTGCTCACTCGACTGTTCACCAGGGGACTCTGGTGGGATGGAGAGGTTGGCTGGGAATTTGTCATGCTCTGGGGGTCCTGGAAGTAAAATATATGCTCAGCAGGACTAGAAGAAAGTGTGCCTTGTGGAGAAGTACTGAGGAGAATATCAGATGGAGATGCACATGGAACTGCAGAGGAACTCGGGTTGTCCCATTGTTCCACCATAGCGAGCGGTGGAATGGAGAGGTACTGTTTTGCCATTTGCTTTCCACATGCAAGTTTGTCTGGGGTGATGATGATAACTTCTTTTCCTCTGGCTTTGCAGGCATCGATCAGTAATTTAAGAGTTTCTTCGCCACTGCCATTGATGGCATATATTAGAGCAGAAGAACCGGTATGATCCTCAAGACAAGGATCTGCACCGTTACTTAAGAGCAACTCCACTACCTCAGGACCGGCTTGCTCCAAACAGGCATGCATTAGAGCGGTCCTCCCACTTTTATCCTGGATATTTGGGTCAGCGCCACTTTCAAGTAGATACCCCACCATCTTAACCTTTGGGACACTTTGGTGGTCTGTGTGCCTGCTCCTGCAGGCAACCATCAGGGGTGTTTCACCACACTCGTTACTCTCGTTTATATATGCGCCTCCTTCGAGTAGAAGCCTTGTGAGACGGAGACGGCTTAGGTAAACGGCTTTGAGCAGTGAGTTGCCATCAACATTGATCATTTGTGGACCCTCCATCTTTACTTTGGTTACTGTGACTCACATCTGACGGGGATCACCAATGCTGCCATGGCAATACCTGTCAAAGAGAGGAACAAGATTAATGTGTAAAACCTTAAATTAAATGGTTAATTGAACCAATAGATCAGGGGTGCACAATCCTGTTCATGGAGATCTACCTTCCCCCAGAGTTCAGCTGCAACCTGCATCAAACACACCTGTCTATAGTTACCAAGTGCTCCTTCAGATCCTACTTATTCGGTTTAGTAGTTTTGATCAGGGTTGGAGCTGAACTGTGCAGGGAGGTAGATCTCCAGCAACAGGATTGGGTGCCTCTGCTATAGATAAATAAAAGATAAAGTTTGTATATGTTGTTTATTTGTTCCTCCTAGCATGATACAGTTTTTGTTGTGGAAACACATAATGCAATGAGGGAAAGACGGTTAAATGATGGCTGATTCCGTTTAGTTGTTTTTTACAATGGCTGTCTTTCCTTGTTTTTACAACTACATAAGTCCCTCGCTATAACGCAGTTTACTTTTCACGGTTTTGCATTTTTACCGATTTTGTTTGTGCAATTTGACTTGCTTTTTTTCTACAGCGCTTTGTGTTCTGCGTCCTGACTTGCTGTAGGCCAGGGGTCACCAATCTCGGTCCTGGAGGGCCGGTGTCCCTACAGGGTTTAGCTCCAACTTGCTTCAACACACTTGCCTGGATGTTTCAAGTTTACCTAGTAAGACCTTGATTAGCTTGTTCAGGTGTGTTTGATTAGGGTTGGAGCTAAAATCTGCAGGACACCGGACCTCCAGGAACAAGTTTGGTGACCCCTGCTGTAGACCATTGTCAATCAATTTTCCTTGTGCCTTGTCTCCTGTACAGTACAGAATGCGTTCATCCTGCAAAATGTACGTAAATCTTCAGTTGATCTGTTGTAGAGAAGTAAGTTTTCTCTTCACAATGTCGATGAAACTTTCTGCACTGTCAAAGGCACCTACGGTAGCCCCCAAAAGGCAGAGGAAGATGCTAACCATTGCACAAATAGTTGCACTCCAGGACATGCTTAAGGAAGGTAGAAGTTACATGGATGTAGGACACCATTACAGAATAAATAAATGAATTCTATTATCCTAGACTCATTTTTCTTCGAAAGTTTGAACTTTGAGAGTGTTTAAAAAAGAGAGAAAAGTGTGAAAATGTTAATGTCTAAGAAAAGCACATGAAGTATGGAGCGAGGAGTTTAAAGCCTTAAAACAGCTATGATCATTTTGAAAAATAAAGCGTAGAGGGGGGAAGGGTGTGGCGTGAGGGTTAGGACGATTTTAAGGGCCCATGTATTTTCACCCATCACTTTCGTTGTCCGCCCCACCCAGGGCCGGCGCGTCCATAGAGGCGACACCTCCCTCACCATCCTTATCAGCCGCGTCCTCAGTTATATATATGCATAGGGCGGCAGAATAGAGAGGGCAGCGTCCGCAACACCTCCCTCACCACCCGCTTCCTCAGTTATATCCGCGCATAGGGCGGCAGAATAGAGAGGGCGGCGAGAGGGTCCATAACCGGTCACTTTCGTTTTCCCTTTGGGTTGAGGGCGGCGTGAATGCCTCTGCCTAGATCGGCAGTTCAGCTTGCTCCGGCCCTGGCCCCACCCTTCACTTTCGTCAAACCCCAACAACCCCCCCTCCACTCTTTGCTTTCGTCTCGTCTCAGCACCACCACCCCCTTCTCTTTTTAGAGGCGTCCCTGGACCATTGTAAACCATTGAAAATGGCTTTTTCCTCGGACTATACACTATCAATCAGAGGACAGAAGTCTTGTTAAGAACAATAGTTTTTTCAGTAAAATTTTGACCCTGCTGGTAATTTAGAGCCAGCAGAAATTAGTTTAAAAAATGAACCCCCGTACGCTTTATACACTCTAAAAAATAACTCAAGAGGTCCGTTACCACTAAATAGTTTAATATATTATTGTAACTTAAAAATTCTAAAATGCCGATTAGATTAAAACTTTTAAGTTGCCAGAATTATTTTATTAAGTTTTCAAAACAGGAAAATATTGATAATTAAATCAATTTAAAAATGCAGGTAATTTAAAGCTAAATATATCTGTCAGTCGCTTTAAAACAATATTTAACTTGTAGCAACCCAAAAAAATTAGGTTAATAACTCACACTAACGCCCTATTCACACGGGGCTTCAGCGTCAACGCTTGACAGAGGGCGTGTCTGAAGTTGGAGCTGAAACGATTGTCATAGAAGCGTCAGCCAATGAAATTCAGTCAGCAATAGGCCACTGTCTGAGCTGGTGTATTTGCATACAGCGATCTGATTGGCTGACGCTTCCGTCGGCGCTTGAAAAGTTGAGCTGGTCCCAACTTCTGCAGCGAGGAACGCTTATGAAGCGGCGCCGACGGATCCACAATGCAGTTCGGCAACGCCTGACGTCACCCATTCAAAGTGAATGGGAAGCGTTGACGCTGACGCCCCGTGTGAATAGGGCGTAATGGAGTTCTTTTGTATTTTTTTTTGTAAGTCCACACACTAATGTTTTTTGTTATTTTTTACACTGATAATATGGGATAGTACATGTTTTTGTTTTGTAAAACAATAAAAACCTGTGGTTTAATACAAATTAAAAAACTACCGAAAAACAAAAATGTTGTTGTTAAATGTACTTCTTACAAGCGTGAACAGTAAAATTGAAAACAAACAAAAAATTTGGCAATTTCGGCTGCTTAATTTATTTGAGGTTCTAAACTTGAAAATGTGCATGTAATTAAGTGCATAACATAACACTGGATTTGTTTTCAATTTTAAAATAAAAAACTAGTTGAAACAACATTTTTGAGTACTCAACTTATAGATTTGAGGTTTTTGCTATGTAAAAATGCCTCTGATTGAAGAGGAAAATATTTGGCTAACATAATAAAGTTTGTTGTGAGTGTATAATCACGCACTGCACACTCTTTGTTGCAATAGATCTTTAAAAATTGAAAGCTTTTTCTGCAAATTACACACATTACATCTACAGAATGGAAGAGTCGAGCAGCTCTACATTATACTGTGTTATTAGGTGCTTGATTGGCTACACGCATAATGTTGAAAATAAAAGATTGAGACGAATTCATTCCTGCTCAGCAACTACTCTGGTTCTGCAGAATTACAGCTCTCCCTCCCAAGTGCTATCTTTTTTGAAAAGCTAAATTCAATAAACGAAGGCAGAGACCTTGGCTTTATTGTTTGCCATTACTGCCAGACAACATTCTTTGCGGTGCCTGTCCTTTTCAGCTTGAGCACAGAGCTTGCCCTCCCTCACACTTTCTTCAGGAGCTGCATCTTTCTAAAGGCCATTGTGTTTGCTGTCCTTGGTGTTACTTTCTGAGCGCTGACAGAACATCATGCCTTCGATTGCTGTTAAGCTTTCCGAAAGCCTTTCAAGTTAGTTGGAGAGGCGGTGCTTATGTAAAGAGCGTATAGATATAGTATCCAGGATGAAGCTTATGGAATACAGTAAGAGTTCTACTTGCATTTGTTGAAAGTCAGTTTTGCCAGATCTTTAGTCATTTGTGTTGGTTTGGCTAAATATTTTTACTTTTTTTTCTTGGAATCTGGTCTTGTAAGGATTTGGAAAGCAGTGCTTGTTATTGTATACAATTCTTTATTTTTAATATAATTTTTTGGTGTTTTGTAGTCTTTTAGTGATCACCTGTTACTTTATCATGATAAACTGAACTCATTAAATGTACTTTTATTTGTACACTCATCGGCCACCTGTCCAACTGCTCGTTAATGCAAATTTCTAATCAGCCAGTCACATGGCAGCAACTCAATGCATTTAAGAATGTGGACATGGTCAAGACGATCTGCTGCAGTTCAAACCGAGCATCAGAATGGGGGATTTAAGTGGCTTTGAATGTGGCATGGTTGTTGGTGCCAGACAGGCTGCTCTGAGTATTTCGGAAACTGCTGATCTACTATGATTTTCACGCACAACCATCTTTGGGTATTACAGAGAATGAGCAGAAAAGGAGGAAATATCCAGTGAGCGGCAGTTCTGTGGGCGTAAACGCCTTGTTGATGTCAGAGGAGAATGGCCAGACTGGTTCCAGCTGATAGAAAGACAACAGTTACTCAAATAAGCACTCGTTACCACTGAGCTCTGCAGAAGAGCATCTTTGAATGCACAACACTTGAGGCGGATGGGCTACAGCAGGAGAAGACCACACCGGGTGCCGCTCCTGTCAGCTAAGAACAGGAAACTGAGGCTACAATTCACACAGACTCACCAAAACTGGACAATAGAAGATTGGAGAAACGTTGCCTGCTCTGATGAGTCTCCATTTCTGCTGCCACATTCGGATGCTCGGGTCAGAATTTGGCATCAACAGCATGAAAGCATGGATCCATCCTGCCTTTTATCAACGGTTCAGGCTGGTGGTGGTGGTGTAATGGTGTGAGGGATATTTTCTTGGCCCACTTTGGGCCCATTAGTATCAATTGAGCACCTCTATGACCACAGTGTCTCCATCTTCTGATGGCTACTTCCAGCAGGTTAACACACCATGTCATAAAGCGTGAATCATCTCAGACTGGTTTCTTGAACATGACGATGAGTTCACTGTACTCAAATGGCCTCCACAGTCACCAGAGCTCAATCCAATAGAGCAGCTTTGGGATGTGGTGGAATGAGAGATTCACATCATGGATGTGCAGCCGACAAATCAGAAGCAACTGCGTGATGCTATCATGTCAACATCTGAGGAATATTTCCAGTACCTTGTTGAATCTAGGCCACGAAGGATTAAGGCAGTTCTGAAGGCAAAAGGGGGTCCAACTCAGTACTAGTAAGGTCCCGGTGTGTGTATATATACAATATAAATGTGTTTAGGTTCAGTTGTACAGTAGGTTACAATACCAAAATATCACATGAAATCAATGAATTAATTGTTAAGCTAATTTCAGTACACAGTATTATTGATTTTACAATCATTCATCAACATGCAACACTCCTCAATCATTCGACTGTCCTTTTCATGTATTGCTGTTAAGTCTTGTTCTGCTTTTTTCTGCTTGAAAATCAAGTTCAACATAAATGCTTGCAAACGTCATTTCTTCTTGACTTGTATGTTTCAGATGTTAAATGCAAAGTCTCGCTGTCTGTCAGAGGAACAGTTATGACTCTCCAAGTACCACTGTGCATTTCATCTATGCAAAAACAAGGGTTTGGACAAGTTGTTATAAGCAGCTCGCGCACCGTTACCATGGAGGAAATGACGATTGCTTTGGAGTATCTGTGACTAGTCAGCGATGTTCTGCTCAACTCTGCTGGGAGCAGGTAAAGAAGCTCCACTTATGAGATACACGTCCAATTGTGTGCCATACAAAGAGCAAAGTGGGAAAATCCTGCTTTTCTTCACGCCAGTATAAAAGTAAAAAACTGCAAAGCAAAACATGTTTAGAATCGTCCTCAAGCTTTTTGTAGTGTACACGGCAAGATGATGCATGAATAATATTCGCTATCCACTTGAAATTTTGAAGAGGTCGCAAAGTGTTTCTATTCTAATCAGGGCAGTGAGCGTTCTCCCTCAGTCAGGGAAACAATCGATACAACAATGCTCTTAATCACTGTTATTAACTGTGTACTATTGCATGGAAATAAAATATGCACTGTAGGTAGCTTAAGAAATCAAAACGTATTTCATTATAAGCATTTCATTCTGTGATATTAGATAATACAGAGTTGATGGATAGAGATTGTTCTTACCGTATAATCACACACACAAATTCTGTCCGATGCAGATCGAGGATGAAGTCTGAGGTATATTTTGCTGGTGTCACGGTCGCCTGTCTGTCCGCTGAGGAAATGCGTTTGAACGCACTTGCATTGCAGGCATGACGTTGATCAGATCTAAGCGACAGTGAGAGGTGCATTATTCACATGCTGAGAGGAGAAACTGGCTGGGTGGGAGAACGAGAGAGCGAGAGAGCGAAGCAGGCAAACATCAAGACTTAAAATAACCTTGATTCTCAAGAACTTCAGATGCACTGGAGTCCTTCAGAATTGAGAGGACTGATTTGTACGTTTTGTTGAGGCATTTCTGCCTCTGCAAGACTCATTTCTTAGAAGCATGTCCTGCTTTAATTGGAAATGCAAAGTTTATTTATTTAACATTGGAAGACTTACTCAAGGATGACAAAGTGAGACATTTCTTGTGAGAGATTACTTCATTATCACACTTGAAATGACCACCAGTTGTAAGATGGGTTACAGGGTCTCAAGGTCAGATCAGTGTTGGAAATAAACCGTGCAGAGCAGAATTTGACCCCCTGCTTTAGATGACTCTGATTTTACCATTATGCCTTTGTGTTTTTTGTTTGCTAGTGCAAACTGACAGAATGTGTTTGCCTCCAAAACTGTGCAAGTAAGGCTGTTCCAGAGTTTAGCTGCCAGATTTGAGAAGGATCGACCGCCTACAGTTGATTCTTGATATTCTAGGAGTAATCAATTGAATTGAGTGTAGTGGACGTGAGGGCTGTAATATACCAGGAGCTCACTCAAATACTGGTGAGCTAAGCCGTTCAGGAATTTAATAAGAATTTAAAAAGTTATACGTTTTTGCCATCCTTCCAGATGCTTTCAAAACAGTGACAATGCAGCCAGAAATATATAATATAAGACTCCTGAGGGTTCCCTGTCCTTCAAGTCATGTAGGTTCCAAGGTGTATTTGAAAACCAGGGTAACATTTTGTATGTGGCTTGTGGCAAAATAGACCTTCTGATGGCTCTACACACATCCCGTGTTACATTTTGGTCCCTTTTCTAGGGGTACGGAGACAAAAGTAACAAAAAAATAAATAAAATTAGGNTATTAAAAAAAAAAAAATTTTTATAAAAAAATAAATAAAAATAAA